GTCGCCTCGGAAATGAGTCAGTGCGCATGAGCAAGCATTCTTCGGTTAAGCCTGTTTGCTATCAAGATGGGCATACGCCACTCGCAACTGGGCGAAAGATCCCCACCTTTGTCAGTCTACAAAATACAATATATGTGAGAGATCCTAGAAAGAAAAGCTTCGACCAGGGTATCAGGGAAACAATCAAGGAACTGCGACTGGGGGAGCTCGTGATAAATGAACACGACCCCCCCCCCCCCCCAGTGATCGCCCCTTGGACGCTCTCTATACCCACGGTTAATCTAGATCTACAGAAAACCGACAAGAAAAACAACCCCACCGCTGCACGTGCTTTCTCTCTAGAACACCTGGAAGACAACTGGCCGTCTGATGACTGGGACCATGTGTACACGGATGGCTCACGCAATCCTGAAAGGGGCACCAGTTTGTTTGGAATATACCTGCCAAACGGGGAACAGGGAATAAGCAGGAAACTGCCCAATAACTGTTCGGTGTACACTGCAGAGCTTGTGGCCATTCGTGACGCTATATCATGGATTTCCCATCAAAAGACTAGTAAGTTCGTCATTCCAAGCGACTCTCTGAACAGTCTGATTTCAATCCAAAATGACAACTCGGACTCAAGACCAGAAGTCATTTTGGAAATCAGGCAGCTGTACCAGAGGGTTTTAGAGAAGGGAAGCAAAGTAGAACTCGTGTGGATTCCATCACATGTCAACATTAGAGGAAACGAGGAGGCAGATCGACTCGCCAATGAAGGTCTCAAGGACACAGCACCACTCCGCACCATAGACTACAGCACCACGGAAATCTACAGTATGGTCAAAAGACACGTCAATTCAATCTGGGAATTAAATCTCGTTGAACTTGACACATACAGATTCCGGCTGGATGGCAAGATCTACACAAAGACAACACTCAATCACCCTAGAAGAGATATTTGTAGACTTATATCGAAGCTAAGGGTGAAAGAGCGGCTGCGAGACTACAAACACCAAGTCATCATCTGTGAGTGCGGAGAAGAATGTACCGCCAACCATGTCCTGGTAGACTGCGAGGTATACGAGGAGGAGAGAAGGGAACTAGTGAGAACAATGGAGACCAACAACATACCATTCAACACTAAGAACCTACTCTTCCCGAGACCAGATCTGAAACTGCAAATCTTCGAACAAATCCACGCCCTAATGGACACAGTTGGACTAAGTAGAATAGTGAAGTAAGAGGGGGTCACGGTTAGACGGGCCCGGCATCTAAACACTAAACTACATAGGGTATTTATACCAAACTGGCAGGATAGTGGAGTAAGGGGGAGTCACGATCAGACGGACTCGGCATCTAAATACTATTCCACCAAAAACAGACACCAAACCTAGAGAGTGGAATAGTGGAGTAAGGGGAGGTCACGATAAGACGGGCCTGGCACCTAAACACAAACCCCACAAAGATGACATCTACCAAACTAGCAGGATAGTGGAGTAAGGGGGAGTTACGGTTAGACGAACTTGGCACCTAAACACTATTTCGCAAATAAAACTGATACCAAACCCAGATAGTAAGGGGAGGCCACGATAAGACGGGTCTGGCACCTAAACACTAACCCCAAACGATGACATCTACCAATCCAGAAGCAGACGAGATCATCTACCAAACGATATGTTTTATATTAAATAAAGGGAAGAATTTCCCACTAAACTAAACCAAATCCATGGCCTAAGGCCAAATGGAAAGATTGCAAAATCATATTCTAAAAAACAGGAATCAGTTTCGGCTCTCCTATGTCTTGTCTGCGATATCACTTATGTGGAAGCAGACGTTAAACACCAAGAACGAACGAACGGCATACGCCATACAATGAGCTATGAGGCGACGTGTCGCCTTGGAAGCAAATCCATGCGTTTGCGCGATAGTGGCAAAGGCAAGTGTAAACAAGAAGCTCGTGTTCTTAACTAAAGATTAGTGTTTGATCGATATGAATTATACTTCCTTGTCGAATCTGATGAAGAATACTAACGGATGCCAAGTAGGTGCTTTACCATGTCATATCTTAGGGTTTTAATTTACGGATCACGGATTCCCTGACAATATATATTTTAAGGGGGCGGGAGGGGGGATGGGCTTTCTCTCTCCGGCTCCGAGAACATTTTCAAAATTCGACTGTAGGAAACGCTATTTCCTGCACTCTGGGCAGCAACTGATTAGAATTCTTGAAGGATCCTGGATCCTTATCAAATTTGGTCAACATCCAGGGACATTTGCACGCTTTCCGTGGCTATCTTTTTTATACGCCCACATTTTCATGTGGACGTATATTGTCGTCGCCCCTGTCCGATCGTCCGTCCGCCCGTCTACAATTGTTTGTGAACACTCTAGAGGTCACAATTTTTATCCGATTTCAACGAAACATGATATAGAGGTTTATCACCCTATGATCTCGGTTCCTTTTGATATTGGCATGTATCGGACTGTAACTTCATGGATTGTGGCCCTTGGTTGTACGAACAATCACGTTTTTAGCTTGTGAACAATTTTTATCCAATTTGGTTTAAACTTGAAATATATGTTTATAACCCAAAGATCTCAGTTCTGATGAAGAATACTAACGGATGCCAAGTAGGTGCTTTACCATGTCATATCTTAGGGTTTTAATTTACGCGTATATCGGACCATAACTTCCTGAATTATGGCCCCTGATTGTACGAAAAATCGCGTTTTTAGCTTGTGGACCCTATAGAGGCCATAATTTTTATCCGATTTAAAAAACCGTTTTAGTATATCACCGGTACACCCCAAAGATGGCTGAGTTTGAATTTCGTAAAAATCGGACCAAAACTGACTGACAAAATGGCCGCCCATCGTTCTCAAATAGCGTAAAAATATGGTTTATCAAGGTTGTGGACCCTATAGAGGTAACCATTTTTATCCGATTTTGTTGAAACTTGAAACCCAAAGATCTCAATTTCTTTCGATATTCGCGCATATCGGACCGTAACTTCCTGAATTATGGCCCCTGATTGTACGAAAAATCGCGTTTTTAGCTTGTGGACCCTATAGAGGTCATAATTTTTATCCGATTTAAAAAAAAACCGTTTTAGTATATCACTGTTACACCCTAAGGATGGCTGAGTTCGAATTTCGTGAAAATCGGACCAAAACTGACTGACAATATGGTCGCCAACCGTTCTCATATAGCGTAAAAATATGGTATATCAAGGTTGTGGACCCTATAGAGGTCACAATTTTTATCCGATTTTGATGGAACTTGAAATGTAAGTTTATAACCCAATTATCTCGGTTCCTTTTGATATTCGTGCATATCGAATCGTAACTTCCTGAATTATGGCCAATGATTGTACGAAAAATCGCGTTTTTAGATTGTGTACCCTATAGCGGTCATAATTCTTATCCGATTAAAAAAAAACGTTTGAATATATAACGTTATAACCTAAGAATGGTTGAGTTCGAATTTTGTAAAAATCGAACCAAAACTGATAGACAAAATGGCCACGCCTCGTTGTCAAATAGCGTAAAAATATGGTATATCAATGTTGTGGACCCTGCAGAGGTCACAATTTTAATTCGATTTTGAGGAAACTTGAAATGCATGTTTATAACCCAAGGATCTTGGTTCTTGGTTGCTTTCGATATATTCTTGCATATCAGATTGTAACTTCCTGAATTATGGCCCCTGATTGTACGAAAAATGGCGTTTTTAGCTTGGGGTCGCTCTAGGGGTCACAATTATTATCCGATTTAAAACACCGTTTGAATATATCACCGTTACACCGTAAGGAAGGTTGAGTTCGAATTTCGTGAAAATTGGACCAAAACTGCCAGACAAAATGGCCGCCCCTTGTACGCAAATAGTGTAAACATCTGGTATACTAAGGTTGTTGACCCTCTGGAGGTCACAATTTTGTGCCGATTTTGATGAAACTTGAAATGCATGTTTATAACCCAAAGATCTTGGTTGCTGTCGATATTCGCGCATATCGGATCGCAACTTCCTGAATTATGGCCCCTGATTGTACGAAAAATCGTGATTTTAGCTTGTGGTACGTCTAGACGTCACAATTATTAACCGATTTAAAAAAAAACGTTCGAATATATCACCGTTACACCATTATGATGGCTGAGTTCGAATTTCATGGAAATCGGACCAAAACTGCCGGACAAAATGGCCGCCTCTTGCACGTAAATAGTGTAAATATATGGTATATCAAGGTTGTGGATCCTCTTCTAGAGGCCACAATTTTGATCCGATTTTGATGAAACTTGAAATACATATTTATAACCCAAAGATCTTGGTTCCTTTCGATATTCGTGCATATTGGATCGTAACTTCCTGAATTATGGCCCTCGATTGTACGAAAAGTTGCGTTTTTAGGATGTGAACCCTCTAGATGTCACAATTTTTATCCGATTTAAAAAAAAGTTTGAATATATTACTGTTACACCCTTATGATGGCTGAGTCCGAATTTCTTACAAATCGGACCAAAACTGCCGGACAAAATGGCTTCCCCTCGTGCGCAAATATTGTAAATATATGGTATATCAAGGTTTTGGACCCTAGAGAGACACACAATTTTGATCCGATTTTGAAGAAACTTGCAATACATGTTTATAACCCAAAGATCTTGGTCCCTATCAATATTCATGCATTTCGGGTCTTAACTTCCTGAATTATGGCCCTTGATTGTACGAAAAATCACTTCTTTTTTTAGCTTGTTCTCTGTCCATTTCTTGAAAAATGTGGGCGTATCTTGCATGGCAACCGCTTGTTTAAAATGGACGTGAAGCACGAAGAGCTGGGACCATATGAGGTTGTGTCTCATCACTGTTCTTAGTGGGCATATCTTGAATGGAAACCACTTTTTGTAAGTGGATTAGTTGAAAACCTATGTTTTTGGGGTAATATGTAGGCTACTATGTGGCCGCATTTCCATGATTTGCGTGGCTATCTTTAGTTTATGTTTTTGTTACTATGTTTTCTTTAAAGGTGAAGAAGGGCGCTACTATAAAATGTATGGACAGATTATTGCATACATTATAATCGTACATAAAGGACCAGCACCAGCTCCCCCCCCCCCAATTGATGTATGATTTGAAAGCCTATGGCAGTGATGGCTTCCAGCTAGATCAGTTATTTACGACAGTGTTATGTTCTGAAGAAGGATCCAACAAAAACAAAATGGAACTTAAAACCCACACCAATTGGAGGGATTTCCGTCAATACTTGAAAGGTAAAGTTAAAACCTGTAACAAATTCAACATGTAAAATGAAATCTAATAATATATACTAATTTTGTTCGTGCAAATGTAAAATTTGTATATTACATTTGTTTGTGGAGACCCTAGACGTCCCAATTTTTTGTGTCCCAAAGATTTAGGATGGGGTTCAATTTTGGCACATATCCGAAAGTAACTTCCTGTATTATTGCCCCTGATTGTACGAAAATCACCTACATAGCTTGCGGATTTTCTACAAGTCACAATGTTTATACGATTTTGATCAAAGTTCACATATATGTTTATTACACAACAATCGCATTGAGAAAGTGAAAGGATTGGCCCTATGGATTTTTCCTTTTTTTCTGCCCAGCTCTTGCAAAATGTGAGCGTTTCTTGCATAGCAACCGCTTTTTTCTTTAGGAATAGAGGATGTCATAAAGATATTATTGGTTTATATTACTGCCTTCGAAGAAATTCCACCCCTAGGATTTGAGCCAAATTTGACGTTACAATTCCACCACCCTGAAGGGGGGAAGATGCTCTGCCATTCGCCAACACATGTAGGAACACTCTAACTATTCCAGTGACAGAAGACATTGATATCCTTAAAGACCGAATGATGACAGCAATAGAATTTGGCACTTTCTTTACAAGTGCATAAACAATTTTTCTTTTAAAGTGGCGGATTGTATCGTTGTTTATTTGTAATGGCTTACTGTGAGTCTTGTATTATATATAATTTTAAGGGGAGTGGATTGTTTGCTGTAATACATTTCTGTTCGCCTTGCATTCTTCCTTTGTTTATTGTGTTGTAAATTAGGATTATTACCTTGAGTATAATTGATGATTTTTAAGGAGATGATTATTGCCTGTTTATTGTATTACATTGCTGTTAAGACTTGTTGAAAACTTGAGTAGAGGTAGAGGAAGTAGAACAACTAGCAGTGGCCGAGAAGGTTGAAAGATTATCTGTATATTAAGAGTGGTTGAAAGATTCTCTTGTAAGTTCATATAATACCAACAGCGGTCAAGGAGGTTGAAGGATTCTGTGATAAATTACTACCCACGGTGGTCGTTGTACATGTATCTTTGCCGGGGTGTACTACATAGCTATGTAAATATATTCTTTGTGGCGTAGTTTTAAATTCTTCAAAGTACTTTTCGAGAGTAAATGTATCCCCACTACTAAGGGTATCGCCGATGGCATTGCCACTAAATGTTGCTAAGTAATGCTAAGTAAAATTTACATTGGTCAGCTTCCGGGTCTTTTAGCGTAGCTTTCCCACCTGGGAAAAAAGTACCCTTTATTAGTTCTTTTTCTACATCCACTGACAGGCTTCCCCCGCCTTTCGAAAAAGGAACCTGCTGGAAACCTAATGAATTTATATCGTATTAAGAGTTGTGTTTCCAACCAACGTATAGCTTTCTTGTATGGTTTTTTTTCTTTTTGATAGGAGCAGCTTTAGAATTTGGCTTTCTTTTCATTGAAGCCTGTATCTATCGGTGAGGATGAAATAATACCTTATATTAAAGAAGATAATATATATTAAAATCATGCTGGTCCACATCAGCAACTTCCTTCGTCTTGGAGCAGCAACAAAGCCAATCACGAATAAACATTTTTATGATCCATAATATTGTGATTTACAATTGATGGTCATTCTTGTATTATGAAAAGAAGATGAAAATGATCGAAAGTAATCACACTTTCAATAAAAATGTAAACATGTAGTGACCTTGGAGGTTAAAAGGTGAAATTTACCGTTTTTGCACTAGAAAGATTTAAAGCAATAAAATGTCAACGTAAAATATAAAAACTAAAGCGAAACCTGTTCTAATTAATAATAGGAACATTTAAAATTTATCTTTAGGGGGTCTTAGCACCGAACTTTTACTTTGGAACGTCGAAAATGATCTTGCATAACGGAACCAACACACTTTGAAACCTGTTTCAAAAATACGTAAAAACTGTCAAATCGAAATCTCTCCGATTTATTTTCACAACGACTGTTATACATAAAGATACTAGTTATCTGAAAAACCATTGAATAGTTTCAGTGTTGGACTCCAGTCTGCAGGCCGCGTGGATTTCCGAGAATCCCAGTCTAGTAAAACCGACGTTAATCTATGACGGGAAAACACGTATGTGACGACGAGATTAAAAGTTTGCAAATTTTTTATGAGTTTTTATGAATTTCGCCGGAACATGGACGCAGATAAAACCGACGAATGCATTGTACATAGTAGTTCACAGGATATATATATATATATGTCGTATTGGTAAATGTTAGCGGGGAAAATTTTGGAAGGCTTTGTACGGCGGCCTGCTGGCTGGAATCCGGCCATGAAACTATTCAATTGTTTTTTTTTCAGACAACTAGTATCATTATGTATAGCATTCGTTGTAAAATTCGGAAAGATTTTGATTTAACCGTTTTTACGTATTTTTGAAACAGGTTTCGAAGCGTTTTGGTTCTGTTATGCAAGATTATTTTCGTCGTGTATTTTGTACACGGTGAACAGTCCATATGCTGATTACACTATTTTGCCTTATTACACTATTTGCCTATACCGTTTTTTTTTTGGTTTTTTTAGGACTTCGAATTTTGTCTAATGGTTTGGATTGTTCGTACTTGGTTTTATTTTATTCCAAAGTAAAAGTTCGATGCTAAGACCACCTAAAGTTAAATTTTAAATGTTCCTATTATTAATTAGAACGGGTTTCGCTTTAGTTTTTATTTTTATATTTTACGCTGACATTTATTACTTTAAATCTTCCTAGTGCTAAAATGGAAAATGTGACCTTTTGACCTCTTGGGTCACAAAGAACAAAGGTGAATTTAGCAAGTTTACATTTTTATTGAAAGTGTGATTACTTTCAATCATTTTCAGCTTATTTTCATGATACAAGAATGACCCGAATATTTCGAAAACGCCCCAACGGCGGAATGATAACCACTCGGCATCGTATTCTACGTAAAATTTACTCTAGAAAAGTTGGGTCTGGTTTTGTGCCCATTTGATGGACCCCCCCGCCCGCAATGAGCCTCCGGATCGGGTGATAAATAAGCTAATAGCGGATAATAACTATACAGTCCTTGTTAGTTGCTAATAGTAGATAAGAAAGGCTGTCCTTGTTAGTTGTTACTGTAGCGGCTAACAACTCCATCCAGGGGCGCAGAGGCAGCCCTTGACGCTGCTACGAGCAATTAAAAGGGGTTGCTCGATAGTCAGCCTGGAACGTCCCGAATTGACAGAATTGCAATCAAGTGATATGGACATCAGTCCTGTCACAGTTCTGCCAGTCCCGACAGGTGAGGTGGTGTGAGTAGAATCGTGACGTATTTTAAGTAACAAATATGTTTCAGCTGTCATGATTGGTTGAGATATTTTTTATGCACTCGGCACATCGGTGTACTCCGAAATTGTCTTATTCACTCGATTGATACTATTTTGGGAATGGAGAGAATTTAATTCCGGAACGTTCAATCGAGTATCCCCAATACGACTAACAACTTTCTACTACTAGCGGGGGGTTGGGTGGCTGAATGGTTAGCACGTGCGCGCTGTACCATAAAGTCTGTCATTGAGTCAACTGGCGTGGTTTCGAATCACCGGTTGTACGTGGCAAGGAGTAGGGTCGCCTGTCCAACCTCGTGGGTTTTCTCCGGGTCCTCCGGTTTCCTCCCACTGCTAAAGACCCCTACGCGCAAGCGAATTATTGAAATAAAATTAAACCATGTGTTAGTCCCGAAATGACCTAGTTTGTGTCGAGTGGACGTTAAACCCCATCTCTCTCTCTCTCTCTCTCTCTCTCCCTACTACTACTAGCAGGCTAATAATAGGCGGATCGGGTGTCACTACAGTCACTACCATCGTGCGATTTTTCTAATTGTTTTCTTGCTCGATTCACATTGTATGGTGACTTATTGTATGTCAGATTAATTTCGACTCACCACTAGCTTGAATTTGGAGAAATGTTTTTTGACAAATTTGTATTTGGAAATTTGTTGTTCGAGATTTGTTTCTCGTTGTTTCTGATGAAATGTAAATAAGAATTAAGGGCTTTAAATTAAGAACTAAGAATTAAGAACACTGAATAAAGAGATGTTTGGTTTTCCATGCCTTGGAGTCTACTGGAAACCTTTAAAAAGTAAATTTTACATCATTAAAACCCACAAGGTTGGGCAGGCGACCCATCCTTGTCACGTACAATGACAGTTGATTTAAAGGCAGACCGTATGATCTTAATCGCACACCCCTACTGGTACTTGAAATGGGGTATCCACGAGAAAAAAAAAATATCGGATCTTCTCCACACAACTGAGGGCAATAGTGACAGCATAATAAGCCCATACAACGATAGGTAAAACCGTGTGTGCTTAAACACCAAATTTAATCATGGGTATTCTAAACATCAAATCAACGTACCATTTAAATTTACGCGACAACGCTGCCGCAGCCTGGCCTTGTCCCCAATTTTTTATTGAAAGTGTGATTACTTTCAATCATTTTCAGCTTATTTTCATGATACAAGAATGACCCGAATATTTCGAAAACGCCCCAACGGCGGAATGATAACCACTCGGCATCGTATTCTACGTAAAATTTACTCTAGAAAAGTTGGGTCTGGTTTTGTGCCCATTTGATGGACCCCCCCGCCCGCAATGAGCCTCCGGATCGGGTGATAAATAAGCTAATAGCGGATAATAACTATACAGTCCTTGTTAGTTGCTAATAGTAGATAAGAAAGGCTGTCCTTGTTAGTTGTTACTGTAGCGGCTAACAACTCCATCCAGGGGCGCAGAGGCAGCCCTTGACGCTGCTACGAGCAATTAAAAGGGGTTGCTCGATAGTCAGCCTGGAACGTCCCGAATTGACAGAATTGCAATCAAGTGATATGGACATCAGTCCTGTCACAGTTCTGCCAGTCCCGACAGGTGAGGTGGTGTGAGTAGAATCGTGACGTATTTTAAGTAACAAATATGTTTCAGCTGTCATGATTGGTTGAGATATTTTTTATGCACTCGGCACATCGGTGTACTCCGAAATTGTCTTATTCACTCGATTGATACTATTTTGGGAATGGAGAGAATTTAATTCCGGAACGTTCAATCGAGTATCCCCAATACGACTAACAACTTTCTACTACTAGCGGGGGGTTGGGTGGCTGAATGGTTAGCACGTGCGCGCTGTACCATAAAGTCTGTCATTGAGTCAACTGGCGTGGTTTCGAATCACCGGTTGTACGTGGCAAGGAGTAGGGTCGCCTGTCCAACCTCGTGGGTTTTCTCCGGGTCCTCCGGTTTCCTCCCACTGCTAAAGACCCCTACGCGCAAGCGAATTATTGAAATAAAATTAAACCATGTGTTAGTCCCGAAATGACCTAGTTTGTGTCGAGTGGACGTTAAACCCCATCTCTCTCTCTCTCTCTCTCTCTCTCTCCCTACTACTACTAGCAGGCTAATAATAGGCGGATCGGGTGTCACTACAGTCACTACCATCGTGCGATTTTTCTAATTGTTTTCTTGCTCGATTCACATTGTATGGTGACTTATTGTATGTCAGATTAATTTCGACTCACCACTAGCTTGAATTTGGAGAAATGTTTTTTGACAAATTTGTATTTGGAAATTTGTTGTTCGAGATTTGTTTCTCGTTGTTTCTGATGAAATGTA